GGTTTCCTGAGGGATAAAGAGTACCAGTAATCACAGCCATATCAGGCCTTCCCAGATACTTACAGACCTCCACTACCCTCCATCACTTCCCCCATCAGAGTCCCCCCTTACATACGAGTCCTTAGGACTCTCATGTGAAGATGTAAAGGGGGTCTAAGGGGACGCAGATATAACAGGGGACTCTGGAGACTCTGTTGTAAGGGGGAACTCTGTGGACTGTGATGTAAGGGGGGACTCTGGACACTGATTCCCCCTTTACATCAGGGTCCCCAGTGTCCCCTTTTACATCAGCTTCTGATGTAAGGAGGGACCCTGATGCAAGAAGGGACTCTGGTGACTTTGATGTAAGGTGGGGATTCTGGACACTGAGTCCCCCCATGCAGAGTCTGATGTGGGACTCTGATGTAAGGGGGGACCCTAAGGATTCTGATGAAAATGGGGACTCTGATGTAAAGGGGGACTCTGGGGAATCTGATGTAAGTGGGGACTCTGAGGAATCTGATGTAAAGGACAGCTCTGGGAAATCTGAAGTAAAGGTGGATTCTGGGTAAACTGCAGTATGGGGGGACTCTGATATAAAGGGGAACTCTGAGGACTCTGATGTAAAGAGAGAGTCTCTGATGTAAGGGGAGACTATGATGTGAGTTGAAATCATGGTAAAGCTATCTAAAATATGCGTGTCAGGTTTTGAAAAGGGGGCGCAATTTCAGTGTTTGCCATAGGCGCTGTTTTCTGTAGCTACGCCTGTCCACACCTTATTTTTCTTTTCCTCCCCATGCTGCTCGCGGTGGCCATTTTTACTAAGGGCAGATAAATCTGTCTCCCTTTACTTCCTGAAACTCTGGGTCTCCTCCTATAATATGTGACAATGCACATCGTCTGAGGGGGAAAAATACCTTTCCCCTGAAATCTTGCGAGATGTTGCAGTTTGCAGATGAGATTTCCCAGGAAGGTACTGGTGAAGTAGCCTTTCCAGGTTGCATCTGTGAGGCCAGGGCTGAAGATAGATGGATAAATAGATAGATAGATAGATAGATAGATAGATAGATAGATAGATAGATAGATAGATAGATCCCAAACAATACATTATACTGCAATACAAAATAATTTGAAGCTACATACTCTGTGCTGTTCTGGGTTGGTGCCCTGATGTCTCCAGGTGGCCTGTGCGGGCTGTGCGACTCTCGGGTGAGTTGTGCCACACTCGGGAGGGCTGTGCGACACTTGGGAGGGCTGTGCGACACTCGGGAGGGCTATGCGACAGTCGGGTGGGCTGTGCGACTCTCCGGTGGGCTGTGCGACTCTCGGGTGAGCTGTGCGACACTTGGGAGGGCTGTGCGACACTCGGGAGGGCTGCACGACACTCGAGAGGGCTGCGCAACACTGTGGTGGGCTGCGCGACTCTCGGGTGGGCTGGGCGATTCTCGGGTGGGCTGCTCAACTCTCGGGTGGGCTGTGCGACTCTCAGGTGGGCTGTGTAACTCTTGGGGTGGCTGTGCGACACTCAGGTTGGCTTTGCTATTATCGGCGCTGTCTGGGCATGGTGTCTCACCAGGGGGTCTGCAGGCAGGCAGCACGGTGTCAGGGAGCCGGTGTTGTGTCGAAATTCTGTTCCCCTGTAAATCTTGGTTCCCCCTGCTGCTCGTCTAATTCCGTAACCCCGCCTCTTCCTGCCTTTTCCATTCAGCCACTTGCGTATCTACATAGTCCCGCCTCTCTTCTAGCTATGGTAATCTATCACATAGAGAAGAACATCTCCTCGTTCTTCTCTATGTGATAAATCACCAGAGCTAGAAGAGAGGAGGAGCAATCAGAGATGCGGCTGCTGAGGTCCTAGTCAAGCGTGATCTCGGACAGCCACATCTGCCTGAAACCCGGATCTTTCTCTGAGCTGTGGGCACAGGCTGCCTGCAGCTCAGTGGAAGATCCGGGTCTATGCGGCTGCTCGAGATCAATCTTGCCAATGACCTCGGCAGCCGCACCTGTCAGGAAATTTAAAGTGCCGGTGCCGGCACTGAGTGCCTTGTGTCCGGGTGCCCGCTGGCTGGGCACCCGGACAGAACACTCCAAAACTGGACTGTCCGGACAGGTAGCAACCCTAGGGTGACATCATAACAAATTGAGATATTTCCTGTATGCCTTTTAAATACATTTTATGCCTGGAGATCTGCTTTATTATTATTGCTCTTCAGAAGTGCTAAACTCCTACCAAAGAGCAGGAAATCCCTGGTGGTCAGTAGGGTCACCAGAACTAGTGTCCCCATTGGAAGATGTCCCATCTATTCCTGTTCTGATGATAACCTAATATTTGGAATCTTCTTTCACTTTCAGTGGTAGTCGTCACCAGGAAAATATAGAGGGTAAATCTCTCTAACAGGGGCACTGACAGCAATAATAACCTGACAGGGGTTCTAATCCCTCTCTACCCCATCCAAAACTGAAAAAACTTGGCAAAAGAGCTTGGCAACCATTGCAACAAACCATATGTCTCTTTCCCTGACAGATGACTCTTCTGCCTAACACAGGCAGAGGGAGCAGACATTTGAGATAGAGATTTCAGGTTGTTTTGTTGACAGAATGATTTCCATTAAGAGATGGGTCTATTTTTTTTTTTAAGCTGGTATTTAAATGCCAGAAATATTGACTCCGAACAACACAGCACATTCCAGAAAAGGTACATTTTGTTGTGATGTATCCGTTTGTTCCTTGGGTGTCTAAGTAGGCTTTTTTCCCCCAGAAGGTAGAAGAGTTATACTTGAATTATTTCCTGCTTTCATTTCTTTAGCTCAAAAATGTCTCTGAAGAAAATTCAGGTTGTCAGGTATGAACTGAGACGGTGAGACATTGCAGAGTCACTTTCTTAAATGTCTAGGAACCTTTGAGATGCATTAATAAGGATGCTGATATCTGACTTTCCATATCAAGTTAACTTTCTTCGGTTGAAAAAATCCTGATTCATGATTTCTTAAATCACCGGTAGAATGCAGTTTGGGGAAGAGCTAATGAAACGGATCTTTCTAGAAGATGACATTCGCGCAGGGCAGTTAGCCAAGATTTAACTATGTGCACTTTTAACCTGAAAAGAATATTTGGTGTTGGATTCAGTTCACATCCTCGTCCTATGTGTGTCAAATTCAATTCTTCTCTGTTGTCATTTTGCTGGTGGCTCAGATGTGAAAAGAAATTATGACAGCTCGTTTCTGGACACCAAGCCCAAAATACATTCCACTTATAATCAGATGTACTCATAAATACTGCTGTGTTTAGTTTTTATATACACTATGCTACACTAATATAATTAAGGGGAAACTATTGCCTTTTTATTTATTTATTTTATATGTGAATGAGATCAGCATTAAGTAAACCTTGCCATCTATAAATAGGGATGCTCAGACCAAGTACCGTAGTCGGTACAAGTACGAGTACATGTACAGATACTTTTCCAGCTCCAGGACTAGACTAGAGAAAAATTGAAAAGTTAGGAGGCAGCTGTCATTTGTAAGGAGCACACGGAGCTCCTGGGATTTGTACATCCCCATTTTAATGCATTAATTTGTTTTGATAAATATATATATGGGATGCACCGATACCATTTTTCCAAGTACAAGTACTGATACTTGTCCAAGTACTTACAGACACAAGTACTGATACTTTTTTTTATTGTCATGAGACAGTTTTTCTAAAACAATACAGACTAATGATTTCAGGACAGTGGTGGAGCGCCAGAGCCAGATCCCAGCTGCAACCACTGCAACCCTGGTAGTTCTCGTGAAAATGCTAAGTATCAGCATTGGTATCTGAACTGGTAGCTGGACATCCCTATCTGTAAACGTAGTAAAGTAGCAATAGTAACAAAATATTTTCCATTGCCTCTTGGGACCCTTAGGATGCACTACAGGGATGGGGAACTTCCGGCCCTACGGTTGTGGGGAAACTAAAAAACCCATGATGCATCTGTCTCTGGAATTCATGCCCATGGCTGTAAGAATCTTGCAATGCTTCATGGGATTTTGTAGTTTCACCACAGCTGGAGGGCCGGAGGTTCCCCACCCCTGCACTAGAATGCTTGCTATTAAGGTGACCTAACACTTTAAATGTATTTTTTAAATGCAGTTGGTGTAATACCTAAATTTGACCTGTATAGCAGAACTCTGTCTGGGAAAGGTATCGGCAAAACTAGAAGTCAATCAGGTGTACTGCATGTAAATTTACTGACAAGGAATGTGCTGAAAAGCAGAGTGAACAGTCCGCTAAGTCAACTGCTATTCCTTTACTGTTCAGTCACATGCTAGGGAGGTGACCAGGCTGTATTACCTTACTGCAGTTGAGAAAAGTCAGGTCACTTGCCTTGCTATCACGTCTTGCAGGGTTGTCAATCTCAGGACTGCATAGACAGTGATTTGGTAGAAGAAACATCTCCAAAAAGTGCATTTCATCATGGATTTAGCTGTTTGTCTGAACATTTTACACATATGTTATCCATCAAAAGATATGGCTGTTCATGAGCGTCCATCCTAATGGATCTAGATGTAGGACTTAGAATTTGGTGTGACTGCTTACATTTTGGGGCTGGTCTTAAACTCTATTCAGGCTGTAGGAAAAGTTTATTGTTTTTCAACTTCACTCTGTCTAAATGCAGAAAAATTTGAAGTCATATTTCCATGCTCTGAGAGGAGCTTGATTATTGTATTCTCTGGAAAATTTCTGTGACATTATTAAACTTTACACCAACAGCAGTTTTATATAATACATTCCAAGAATGATGGGGTGGGGGACATGCAGACCTGTGATAGATCCTTGTAAGCGCCATAACATCCAAACAGCATCTTAAATCCACTGTCTATTCTGCTGGGGTAAAATACAAGAGAGAAACTGGCTGGCTGTGTCCTTATGATTCAGGCATTGAGATTTCTTTCCAAGGGCCTTGTTTATTTTAATGCTGCTTCCATGCATCTTTTTGATTGTACCTCTTGTTCTGAATACTTTTTTTTATTTTGCAGGGTCTTGGATAGACTTCAATCTGAACGGCCATGTTGGGCTAGGACAGACAAAGACATCCAGTACTGGAGAAGGAGAGGTCAAGATTTCAGTGTTTTATTCAAACATGGAGAAAATGGAGCAGCAGACAAGCCAGGCTTGCCCATAAATATTGATGGAAAGAAGAGATGTAATGTAGAAGAAAAGAATACCAAGGAATGTCACAACACTGTCATAGAAAATGTGGAAAAAACAAGGAAGAAAGTAACAGTAGCTGTAAAAACAGTAGAACAGCAGACGTCAGATGGCAGTTGGGAGAAGTTAGAAGATTTACTCTCATCAAATCCCGAACGTAGTCCTTTTGTGTATCCCAGTAAGCAGAAAATACAGTTTATTCCAAAAGGTAATTCTCCTGAAGGTCCATGCCACATGGCTATAACTTCAAGTTCAGGGGACAACACTTGCATCAAAGAAAATAAACAGCAAGATAAGGATAATTATATTGTAAATCAGGACTGCAGCAAGAGTTCTTTCTCAAAACCGAAATATAGTCGACCCTCAAAGCCACCATCATATGAAGTTCACCAGCAGACGTGGGGAGCTGTAGACGTTGGTGAAAACAAGGATGATCAACAAAAAGATGAACATCAATCATCTCCCAAAGTTGTAGATGACCCAGAGGAATCTTGTGCTCATGACTCAGGCATGGAACCCCCTAATTACATACCTCCTCCATCATACAAGTCCCCGCCTCTTCTACATGCAGCCAATAAACCTTTTAAAAAAGTGCCTAGACCAAGTGACTGCGTACGGCAAAATATTTCAGCTGAGAAAACCAGCACAAGTGATAAAAAAACCATTTGTTTTCTCGGAAACAACGGTCCTTTCACTAAACCAGCCAGCCACAGGCACTCAGAAAATTGTAAACACTCCATACAATATATCCCTTTTGATGATCCCCGTATCAAACATATAGCCAAGGAGGCCGAGAAACACAACCACAGTAAAAAACACTCTTCCACAAATGATCCATGTAGGGTTGAAAATGTGAATCAGGACAGTAACCTTCACAAACGAGAACAAGACAGTGCCTTTATCAACCCCAAAAATTTGGGACATCACCATGTAAAAAGAGAAGGTATAAAACATAAGCAGTGGTTGCATATCTCCATCCCAGATCAAATGTGTTGTCCGCTACCCGAAAATAGAGATGGAGCTACAGCATGTAGTTTGCCAGAGGACAGTGAGCCCACTCACAAACTGTCTTTGAAAAAGACCCATTCTGACAGTGTTTGTGAAACAGTGACAAAAGTCAAAAAGTTTGAACCTGAGTCTTTTGTTTTTAGTAAAAAAAGTTCCAAGAGGAAACTGAACGAAACAATATTTTGCTTAGTCTCAATTCCAGTAAAATCTGATTCCAGCCCATCTGATATATGCAAGAACAACAAACGTTTAATGGACAATACAGACAGGATGAACATGCTGAAACACAGCAATGCGGGTCTCCCTGAGCAAAGGCTTTTAAGTGCATCTTCCAGTGACTTAGAACTACAAACACTTACAGGAAACCTGAACAATAATACAGAGCTACTAAAACAGGCCCAGTTCAAAACAGAGGAAAATAAACAAGCAAATGACCTCAGATCTGGCGAGCTGCAACACAGGGAGCTGACATATTCTGGCTCGTGGCCAGGTGATCAGTACAAAGATCAGCAAACTCAAACAGTGTTAACAGACATTTCTCCACTTTATAATGGGGCAAAAGAAAGTACACAATCCCAGATTGTTCCTCCAACTGGACTTATAGATGGTAGACCATCTGCAGAAAATATGAGATCAAGTGTATTTGGTATTAAGAGTCAGATAGGATTTTCACCTTCTAGCAACAGTGCATTTTCAAGGACATCCTTATTATTGACACAGATACCTAGAACAGAGCAACCCCGTGATCTCCCTATAGTAAATGTTGATGGAAAGGGAAAAATGGTAAAGAATGATAAGAGTGAAGCTGAGGAAGACCATGCATGCAATAAGAAAGAGGTTTTTGGTCAGTTTCTTTTAAAACCTGTCAACCGGCGCCCTTGGGATGCTATAAGAGAACTGGAAAGTTTGAACAAAGAATTTCAGGAGCCAGAAAGTGCTAATAGCAATGGTGAAAAGAATGTAGTTATAGAGCAAAGTAAAGTGATTTCAATGGACATGTCTTCCACAAGAACAGCATTGAGAAGAGAAATGTTGAACAACAGTCGTCATATTATAGAGGTAGAAGAGGTGCCAATGTTTGAGGGCCTCCAAAGTAAGTCGGAAAAATGGTGTACGGAAAAGATAACATATATTTGCGAGAGAACTCCTGCAATATGCAAGTTTTCCCAAGCGAAAGAGACCAAATATCAACCAGGAAAGCTGTCTGATGGATGTGCACCAGACCAAAAACAAGTTCAATTTCAGAGGTCTAGAGATGCCATTTCTACAAGTGCACCATTGAATATAAAAATAGACCAAGAATCTTTAGAACAAAGTCACGCAAATAAAATTCCCCCCACAACAAAACAGCATGTTCCAGATGCTTTGGTCCACCATTTCAAAGAAGACAAAACATGTTTTGACCATACATTTTTTGATGTAGTTAAAGTTAGCTCAGCAAAATTTGGCCAAATTGGTGATAATATGTTAAGGAAGTTGTCATTAGCTGACAGAAATCATGGGCGTTCTGTTCCTGACCTGAGTAAAAATTTTAGTGGCACAAGTCAGAATGGAGAACTTTTCGAGGAGCACAACTTTTTGGACATTCCAGAGAATGAATCTCTTCATGAAAGAGCTGCTAGGATTCTTGGAATCGAAGTGACAGAGGATTCTCTAGTGTCGAATGGAAGTTCTGAAGCGCAAAGCCCAGAAAATGTTATGTGTGATAGTGGAGCACAGCCAGAGATGAATGTAAGTCATAAAGTGAGTGAAATTTCATTTTCAACAAACGAGGCAGCAAGGATTTTCAAGAGTGTCCTGCATTTGCCTGTAGACAAGGAGAAAACTGTTGAAAAATTAAAGAAGTTACAACAAGATCAGGAGCTATCTTTGGTATGTCCATCAGTTTCAGAGCAGAATGAAACAAATATTATCCGTAGTGCTGAAAAAAGACTGAGGAGCACATCCAAAATGATTGAAACGTTACAGGGGAAACTTGCATCTACACCTATTCGCACTGCTGTAGACCGCCTTGCTCGCATGAAAGAAGTCGATTCTGTCTCCAGAATGAGGAGGCTGAGCATTAAAAGCACAGATTCAGGTGATGAATTAGATGAGGAAAAACAGTTGTTCGGAACACAGGATGGGAGAACCAGAAAATTTTCTATGGGTTCCATTTATAAACGAGTGATCTCCCTAGATGAAAGCCTTCTCATAACTCCAAAAGGCAAAGATAAGTTGGATTTATCTTGTGCAGGTAGGAAAACTGTCTATATCACTGTAATTGACTTTTGAAATCATTGACTAAAATATATATAGAAAAATGTGTTTAAATCTTGCTCAGTTGTACCATACCAGGAATTGATTAGGCAGACACCAATGGGTTGAATCACACTTCAGCTTCCTGTAGCTCATTTGGCAAGACAATTCTGGCATTAGTTTGTGTCTCCAATCCCTCCAACAAGGCGATGATGAAAGTGTCACTCTCCCACACCTGCATTCCCCAGTTAGTAGTCTGCTGTCCATTTTGCAAAATTTGTGACGGTAGCATGATATTTAAAGTGGTACTAAGGAAAAGAAAGGGGGATCTGTTGGAGTGCTTACCATAGTGTGCCTGTATGCACAGTATGTTTGCACATATAGCAATTTTTTACTTAAGTTTACCGCCCATCGGTGATGACAGCCAAGTTCTATCCATTGCCATCACTGCCATCTTCTCTGATGTTTCTTCCGCTGCTAGTGTTTTCTTCATTTGGGTGGCCAGTGATGATGCAATGTCCAAGCATGTGCAATGGGGTTGCAGTATCCCAGAATTAGGCTACTATGAACTGAATGTTTTTCAAACTTAGTTCTGCATGTCCTCAAAAACATTGAAAAATGCTTCTACTGGTGACTTTATTGTAAAGTCAGATTTAGGAATATTATGGTTAGCTGATGATGTGAGATCTATCGGCTAGCTGTACAATCTGGATAGATTTCATTTTTTGGGGGGACTTCTCTAATCTGTATAAGATAATTTCCTCTAAATTTAGTATATTGTACCCTATGTTATCATGTACGGGATTAAACTTTAGCCCAAACTTTTTTAGTTTTGGATATAGAGGAGATGGGTTGTCAGCTTTTGTTGCTGTCCTTTTTGGGAAGATTTCCCCTCTAACTTCTTGTCCCAGTAACAACCTTTCACCATTACAAAAAGGAAGAGAAAATCTCACAACAAACAGATGGAGAGTAGTAAAAACCTGAAACATGTTCTAACCCTTCCCCGCGCTATTACTTAAAGTGTTTGAAATAGTGTCCCTGTGGGAGAGATCTTGACTAACATTCATTAGGCAAGGAAGTATAAAGAAATCTGTCCAATGGAGAAACTAAAAGCAATTTTAAGAAAAGAGGTTCTATCTCTAGCTAAAACAAAAACATCTATTTATCTATTTTAAATTTCTATTGATTCTATCTATATGTAGTAGATTGTACAAATAGATTCTAACACGTTGCACCAACTTTAACTAAAACCTCAACAATAGGCAATTTGGGGGAGAAAATTCCCAAGACATCAAGGATGGAGGAGCATGTGATGTGACATGTGATAGTGATGGTGTTTGGTGATTGACCCAGCACTGTCAAAGAGAGAAGATCCCTCCATCATGTGTAAGCTGACTCAAGGATAGGCTTGTTCCTTTCATCCCTTGCATTCCTTCCCACTATGATGGATGGCTCTTAGTCCACTCAGGAAGCAGAGATTTTTTTAGAAGACAGTAAATATCTACTTTTATTGAAACTGGTTTTTGATAGAGTGGGGAAGGATTATTATAACCTTTGTTTTCTACTGCTATCCCAGTTTCCATTGGAGAGATTGGGCCTCACTTTTTGTCCCACTGACAACGGTTTTACCAGACAGAAAGTGAGGGAAAATCTGCAACTGGGAGATACACAAAAATAACAATCTGACAGGAGTTTTAGCGTTTTCCTACTCTACTAAAAATAAACTCTGTCTGTATTGCTGTTGGAGATTTTCTTTATTGTAGTCAACAGGACATGACTTGAGGATAAATCTCTGTAACGTAAGAGAGAGAAACCCAAGGTATTCTAATCCTGTTCTTCTCTATCTAAAATTTGTTTTAAATGTTTTGGTTGAGCAATCACTTTAAAACATTGTCATTGATAGCATTGTGCCATTTTAGATATACTGTATGTTACATTGTCTTGCTGACCTTCCTGTTGTTTGTATTCCACAGATGTATATGACCCAGCCAGAGTGGAGAGAGTATAACTCTATTCTTGGTAAATGATTGTGTGTTACCGTGAGCATTGTGGGTCAAGACAACAGACGGTCCAATGGTTTGAGCTTTCTTATTGAAAATTGTTATAGTTTTCTACGGTATACCCAAATCGCCATTACTACTGCCAAAACCAAGTCATCTGTTACCACTAAGTCTGAGATGTGAAGGAAGAAGTGAGATTCACTAGTGAAAGTCCTTTCCTGAGAAGCACATGGAGGAAAATCCCAGGAGACCTTGACCAACAATGTTCATAAACATGTAATTGTTTCCCAGTTTGCACACTGCGTGCCACAGTCCTGATGAATGTAATGTTGAACTCTGCACAAGTATGAACACAGGAAGCTAGTAACACAACCTGAATGTATCCACACCAACGTATCGCATATAGTTGGAAAGACCATCGTTGCTTTCTTTTATCTGTTTTATTACTCTTTTCTTATACGGATGCGTGTCCTTTACCGCGTTTTTGGACGCATGGTTGAACATGAAATTAATCTAACTCATCACACATCATTAAACCTACTCGTTGATGACAGTTCAGCAAGGAAAAATAAGACTTGTGTTGAAGAATTGATGTGTGTTCTATGAATGCAGAAACACTTCTAAACACGAGCTTGGAATAAGAGCAAACACATCTAATTGGATGTGTATCCTTTCTGTTGGAGAAGCGCAAAACATTTTGACTGTGGGGGAGGATTATGAGGACATGTATGAGAAAGAACTGGCTGCAATATAGAGTGTGGGCTTTCTTCATTGTAGAGGAACCAGTAAACATCTTTTTGACAGCTGATTTTTACAAGCGAAACAAGCATTGTTGCTTATCATTACCAGTTAAGCGGAATTGCAATTTGGAACTGATTTCTAAAATTTTTAATGGCTTGTACACATACATGGCCTTCAGTGAAATTGAGAGGCAGCTTTAAAAAATTGGGTGTGTCTGTTGCTGAGTACATCTGTTGGTGAGCATCCAAAAACCAATCAGGTTTTGTGTTTTGGAATATGGGGAAAACGCCTCCATTTTTAAGGATAGGCTAGTTCCTTCTATCCCCTGCATCCCTTAGCTCATGCATCCCCTTTCACAATGATGGCCGTATGCCATAGCCTTACGCAGGGGTGGACACATCAATGTTTAATTTGGGAGGCTCTTAGCCTAGTCCAGGAGCTGAAATAAACTTTTTATAAGCCAGCAAGCATCTACTTTTTTTGACATTAGCAGACAAAAAAAAAAATGATCTAACAAAGTTTGACACAATCTGTAATATATAAGGGGTGTTATTAACCTAACAAATGGGATTTGTCCAGACCTGACCATGCAAGCAGTCATTGGCTACATAATTTTTTACTATCTTGCTTTTACTCACCATCAAAGGAGTGGTCTTGCCTAAAACACACCTTAAAAGACCTGCCCACCAATGTCTGGCCTATGTGGCTTATTTACAATATGGGACCTGCCCATTGCTGAGTCTTGATGCTATATATGTGTACAATCCTTTAACTCTCACTGTGTCCCCAATTTCATCAATTAATCATAAATAGCACTTATACTATATATCAGTGTATGTAAAGGCAAAACTCTTTTTCAAAATTAATTATTTTGTTTTGCACAGGGGGATTGCTGTCTGTGACCCCCATTGGGAAGATCCATCCGGGTGACCATTGTCACTAAGACAGAAAGTGAAGGGAAATCCAGAACTGTCACCTCAACAAGGAGTGAGGTAAATTATTCAGTGTGGATGTTCAGGTGACAACTAAGAATGGAATTGGCCTCACTTTGAGAAGAATCCCTGTCATTTCTTGGTGCTTCTGCGGGACAGGAGGTGAGGGAAATCTCCCCAGCAGAACACAGATAGGCAAAGAAAAAAAACATCCTGATAGAGTTTTTAACTGTTCCCTACTCTATTCTAAACTTTAAAGATTGTTTGCCTTTACACACACTTTAATTTAAAGCAAAACACATTTAGCAATTCCATACAAAATACTGACATCTGTTGCCAAGTTCTGCAAATAGAATACATTTTTTCCTGCTGAGTTTAAAGGTTTCTCAGTAATGCTGTCCTAAGGCCTAAAAGTATGACTGGCATTTAGAAGACCAGTCTGTCCAAAACTAACATTTCAGCTTCTGGTAGATGGTGAGAATTGAATCATGTGCTGCCTTTGCTTATCTCTCAGCAATGCTCAGATGCAGAGATCTATGTGTTTACATTGTATGCCCATGCCCTACCTTTAATGTAGATGGTCAACCTTTATGTGGAGTACTAAGACTCCATGGTAGGAGTGGCAGTATCTGGTCACCGCTGCTCGCACAAAGATCTCACCACCCGAGTCCTGAAAATACAGCAACAGACAGTTAATTCAACTCGACAACGTCCACCCAGAATTGATATATACATTTTTTTTTATTGGCCCTTTTCGCAATGCACTCCTACAGTACAAACCCCCAGTTCTGGTAACTTAGGACAAGCAGCCTGTTTGAGGATGTGTTCAGCGTGACTCATTTTACTTTCGGTAAAAAGGTTTTGTTCTTCTTGACATGTTTTCTAAACTTCTGTAGGAGAGAGGTGAGCACTGCTGGGTCTTATGCCTAAAATTGTGGTTCATTTCCCTGAGGTGTAAATACTGATCAGTCGTTTGTCATTTAAAGGGGATTACCTTTGTAAGCAATACTGTTACATGGGACTAAAACGCGCTTTTGTTTACTTTCATCAATACTGTTACTGTAATGTGTGATGAACACACTGGTCAGTGTATGTTTGTGACTGCCATCTGCTTTTTCAGTTCCTGTCTCCCTCTCTCTGTTTCCTGGTTTTCTACCATACTATGTATGCCTCTCAAGGGCTTTCTCTGTAGAAAACCCAAACAGATTGTCCCTGTCATTTTTCGAACCAAACAGATCTAACTGTTTGCAATGAGCAACACAGACAGTACTTATTTCATACCCATGACAATACAGCCACTAGTCGCACCTGACTGAAACAGTAGGGCAGCACAGAGAATTCTTAGCACTGACGCTTTAATTTGTTCGGCCTTTGTATTGCCCGCGCAGCAATGTGACGCATTAAGCCATGGCGATCAATCAAAAATCTGCATGAGTCTGATGGCAGAACTGCTATAATCTGATTACTGATTGGTTGCTATCTCTGTTACTTTTTCTTAACGCTGTATTAGTATATAGTCATTGTCTTCTAGATTCCAAGCTCCATAAACATACCACAACATTTTTTAGGGTGTCTCACTACCCCTTACAGGGTTTTCAGTTAGAAGAGTGCAGCATGAATGAGACCCTAGGGGGTCGGTTTATAAATAATTTGCAGAGCGATTCGCCCTTTGGATCTCTGCGAAAGTTTGTTCTCTGTATATTATTTTTGCAGGTTGAATGAAATGTAATGTAATACTGCATTATGGCACTAGAAGGAGCTGAATAAATAAGTATTTATTTCCTGTGCTCCTCAGCCCCATCTAGGGTTCATAATGTGATAATACATTACATTACATTTAATTTAATTCGGCCGGAAAAAATTATATACTAAATGAAAATGAAAAGATATTATACTAGGAATGTTAATTTTTTCCCCTGCACAAACTGTTGGCGCTATATAAATCCTGTATAATAATAATAATAATATACTCACAAAATGAACGTTCACAAAGATTTGCAGGGCGCATGGCTTTGTGAATTATAAAAAGACCCCTATGTTTGTGTGTAGGGGACACTTGTTACCCAGAATTCTAGGGGTAAAATCTCAATGTTGTAGTCCTTGAGAAATATAGGAAGTTAATATATGATTTATTTTTACCAGTATCCACCTCTGGTTTAAATATCATCTTGGAGTGGATTTAACTATATATGTTGCAAATCCAACAATAATGTTAAATACTATTTGTTCTGTAGTGTATAACAATCTCTGTTTCTCTAGAACAGCGATCTCTAGAACAGGCTATTGAATCCCTTTGTTTATCAACTGTTCTAGCAGCCCATGTCCCTGTTTATTGAGTGTTCTTGTACAGCTAAAGGGCCATTGACTGAAAACTTATAGAAATATGTATTATATGTAGTTTTTTGACATTTAGACAATGCTATTAGCTTAAGTGCCTATGTTAGCTTACACCTGGTCACATATGCAAGAAACCAATAGACCCTACATCCAAAGACGCTTCCCCATCACCTAACATTTCATACTAACCTGCACTTTATTTAACTTGTCAATTTTGGTGGTTCAATGGCCTGTTACAATATAAGACACATCAGCGCTCACCATTTATGTTTATGTGTGCAGCTCAAAAATATAAAGGCTGAAACTGTGTTCCTATCCAGATATTGCTGGCTGAACGCCAAATGCTGGTGGAGAGCAATAGGTTGCAGCTCCTCTGGAGCCCATGGTCTCTGGAGACCCCACTAGACTCCAGGAGGCTCAGTTGTTTTCCATCTTTCTGTAACCATGGAAATGGCCCCGTGGTCTGTCACAAGAGCCTTGAAATCACTGTGTGAGAACCGCATAGAATTAATGCTGGAATTTAAATATAGGCCAAGGATCCTCCACAAGAATAGATAGAGTTCTCTCTTCAGGCTATGTCCATAGTGCTTTAGTCAAAACACTAAACTCTCGTCCATCACAGCTATGCCAGGGGAGAGGAGATCTAATGGTGGGATCTGGGATAGCTGTAGAAATCTGGCAGAGGAACAAACCCTTCCACACATGTTCCAAAACACAAAATTCTGGCTGGGTGCTCTACCAAGAGTATATCGTAGACTTTTGGAAATTTTGTACTGTGATGTTATTAGGGGTGTAGATGGGAATGCAGATTAGTATACGTTCTGAATGCTGAAATTGATAAGTATGGAGAGTTATACCACCCCCATCCCTAACCAGCATTGGCCAGCCAATAGAGCCACACTGAAAAACCCTGTCCTTAAATGAATGGGGAGTCCAAAGTGACACCCTTGTTACATCCTCGTAAGAACGAGGTGATGACACACTTCTGCTGGTAAATCTCACCAAGATTCCAAAAAGTGAGACAACATGCTACTACTTACACAAAAAG